GCAGCTTCCTTACTTCTAAGAACAGGTTAAATACTCTCTTTAAATTCTGATCTGTGTGGTTTTCATCCTAAATCCCTATATTTTCATGAAGTGTACAGAGCATTATACTCTACAGCTATTCTCAATCTCAATCATCTTCCATACATTAAAATATTTCTCATTATGCTCATCATTAAAAAAGAAATCTTATCTCTTTATATATATCTACTATCTGACATCCTTCACACAAAGATATGTAACTATATATAATCTTTACAAAAAATTAGGGCAAAATTTGCAGTAATTCATGGCAAATGTCAGTAATTTCACAAACTAGTGTTGGGCATATTCAAAGTGTGATTTTTATGAGTGCAGTGAAAAAGTAACAAAATATACATACCTGCAGAGCACTGACTTGTCCTTGTCACAGAGCGATGCAAGGCTCTTGGTGAATCTCCAGGTTCAAACCCCAAGTTAAGGGTACCAACATGTGTGGGACAGACTGTAGATGAGTGAGTAGAAGAAGCAGAAGAAGCAGATGATGAGGCAGAGGAAGAGCTTACAGAAATGATTGAATGAGGTCTCTTTCCAACTCCATTCAATTCACCAATTGTTGATATGGACCCAGAGCGAAGACGAGGTGCTGCAATAAAGGCAAGTATGTTAGCTATCTTCCCCTTGGAACTTTGGATAATGACATGCTGTCGTGTCTTGCTATGGAGCATATAAATAAAAGAGGTTTGTCAGATTAATACAACAGATCACTAATATTCCTAACATACCTTTATTCAGCTGGTTGATACTGATGGACCTGTCACTGATTTGGTCTTCACTGGGACGGATATCCAAACAAGGCTTGTTTCCTATTCCCATGGATGACATTTCATGGAGCCTCATGGTTCTATTCCGCAGAGCTTGCCGCCATAGCAGCTTTGAAATTTCTTCAGTCCAAGCTTCCTTCATCTCAGCATTGTGTGCTTGCAGAAGATAAGTATCAGATGGTTTCCTTTTCCGGAACCAAATCTCAAACTTTGTTGTGCTGTCTCCAACTTGTTCTGTTAGGCCAATGTCTGTCATTTTCATACTGTACTTGTATTGGAAAATGTCCAATGTCTGAAAAAAGCAAAATTTTTTATAAACCTTATGAATCTCTGCATATTCATCTTTCACAAATATCATCATCAAACTTTTACATTAGGGATGCTATCCCTAATTCGATCAGCTTAGAAATTAATTCAGATACAACAGAATCTTACCTTCTTTTCTGGGTCTCTTCTAGCTTTGCTGAAGAGTATCAAATCTTCAAATAAGAAGACATGCCTGATTGATTTCTTTGCTCTGCTTCCTTCCCATACCATGAATTCACCCTGTCTTAAAAGTCTACCCTGTTCCTTAAGGTTCACCTGCAGGATACGAAAAAGTTTGATTAAGTTTTTAAATTGATTTTATAATTATGTATTTCTGACAAAAGTTATAATTCTTCAATGAATTACATGTCCAATATGAAAATCCTTTGTGCAAAGAGGTAAACAAAAATACACAAAATACATACATCACAGTCTCTTAGGGAATCCATTGCAAGGAGGTCATTGCCATGACGTAGCTGGAATTGAACCATTTCCTGTGCAGACTGGAGGTCTTCATAATGTTCATCACCTCGAGCACACTCTTTCAGCAGCTGTAAGCAAATGCAAAAATTAAATAAGTCTGTCAGCAAATTATGTGAGAAATAAACAACTATGTATGTAGATGAGTAAAGTACCTGAAACTGAATTTGGACAAAGATCAATTCAATTTTCTCCAGTAATTACTTTTTGTTCTATCTTTTTCTTATTATGGCTAAACAACAATCTTAAATAATAACAAAGTACAAATGTTAAGGTAGTAGAAGTGTTTGCACATATTACAAAATGAGATCTATATTACCTCCACATACCATATTACAGTTAATGAGTCTAAATATAATTATATGCATTATACAGAAAAATCTGTCCATTTCCAATTGGTCACCTTCAGATTTCTCACTAACCTGCTTAAGGATTAGAGCATATTTGCCCATTCTCTGAACAGGCTTTAGAAGATAAGACGCAAGATCCATTCGGTCTTTCAATTCAAGTTGCATTGCTCGGAAAAAGGATGAACCATATTCTGACATCAGGGCATCCGACTTGGGTTTGTTTTTGTTGTAAAGGGCATAGAGATAAAACTGACTCTCCTGTAATAATAATAATGGAATTAAAAGATCTTACCAAAGAATTAAACAAATATAAAATCTATATGATTCTGTAAGAGTACATTCATATTTTGTAACATTAAGCAATAAGTCAATCAAACAATCTTGAGAGTATTATAAAAAATGAAAAGACTTTCAAAAACATTTTGAATTTTTTTAATCCTTTACCTGGCTAAACAATACAATCTCACAAATTACTTACATATCTCAAGAATATGGAGCCAACTGAAAAAGGCCGCATCTCACAAGCCTCTAGAGCACGGAGGAAATACCCGGAATGGAATTCATAGATCTTCTCTATATTCCCAAATATGACATTGCGTTGCCCCCTAAGAGCTTGGGGTATGTCTTCTCTCATCAGTTCAGGGATATAATTCTGAAAGCAAGCCAGACATTCATCAGCTTTTATGTTACAATAACATTTTCATGATATGTTTTGCAAACTTCTCCTGAACCTAATGAACAATCTATCATAATATCCATTTAAAGAAGACTTGTTTCTAAGGTGACTTACCTCTATTATGTACTCAAGTGCATTTACATAATCTCTCTCGGTCTGGATAAGTTCCCTCATAATCAGCAATAGAGTTCTGCAGAGGAATGAAAATATTACATACACATCCGGAAGATTACATGTTATTTTCTGGCTCTTTAACAAATCATGAAGAGAAATATACAACTTAACATACAGAATACACATTGAATAAGAAACTGAAACAGCAATATACTAACTTGTTTTTCTTCACTTCTGCTTGTGTCAGATCTTCAGTGTTGATTGAAAGGTTTAACTGTGAACCACGAATTAGCAAGTGGGAATTGACAGATGAAGACGGAGGTAAAGTCTTGTGACTTGATGGGGATAGAAGCCCTCCATCATCAAGGCTGCAAAAAAAAAAAAAAAAGATTATCAGTATGCAATACATGAACAAAGTAATATATTCAGTATTAAACAGTATATAATTACTTTTGAAAAAAAGACAAATTTGGAAGATGGATATTAGAATTTATAGGGAACATAAGATAATCAAACCATAAGTAACCTTACCTTGTGTTTTCATCTGCATGCTCTTTAGGAACAAGACCAAACTGCCACGTGTTGGCTCTTTTCATGAACTTTTTATTTATGCTGACGGGTCCAGAACTCTCACTGGACGAACAGGAACTGCTGCCACTTGTACCACTAGAACCCGATGAAGAAGTTGTTACTCCAGATGTAGAAGTAGTTAATTTTTGTGATGTGGACGTAGGGAGAGTGGAGCTTTGCTGAAGGTCTTCGGCACTTTCCCTGACTTCTTTGATGCCACCCAAGCTAGTGCGGGCTTCTAGGGGCGTTTTGGCAGGAGGTGGGGGCGGCGGGGGGTCCAAGAACACCGAGTCATCATCTGTATCCAGCGACGGACATCGTGATAATGATTCTCTTGGCCGCGAACCAACGGACGAGACTGATCTTCTGCGACCTGATGCATTGAGGGGCGAGGAAGCCAGCCAAGCCAAGGGAGACATGTCTTCACCTCCTCCTAATATTTCACCGAGGTCAACAAAGCTCTGACAGTCGAATTCCATTTGCCGTTTTGCTTTCTGTAGAATAGCTTGTCGATTACGTAGAAGTTCCGAAGTTTCTTGACATCGCATCTGTGCCATCTGCAAGGTAAATTGACTCGAGATTAAAACATGTATTTTATGCTACTGAATATTTGAACCATGCAATGTTAATTAATTGAACGCAAATACATTCACCAACTGACCTTGCATTGCTGCAGAAGGGTATGATTGTTGAGTCTTGTTGCTAGCGTGTTCATGGCCGTGAAGGTGTCATCAGCAATGGGCGGGTGTTCCTCCAGGTAGGCTGACAGGGCGCGGGCGGCGGACCCCACTTGCTCGGGGGACGCCAGGCCTTCGCCCTTCACTCGCCCCACAACCTTCATGGCTTCCAGGGCCCATTCATAAGACTGCAAACAAATAGAAGCTGGTGAGAAAAGGCTTTGCCCGATATACATTTAAAAAATTATTAAAGGTTGTCCTATAGGGTAATCATACACGTACATAACATGTTTTTATGAAGAGAATTCCTAGAAACATTAATGCAATTCGAAGAATCCAATCTACAGTGTACATTTAAATGTGTGTGTGTGTTTGTGTGTATGCGCGCATATATATATATATATATATATATATATATATATATATATATATATATATATATATATATATATATATATAAATATATATATATATATATATATATATAATATATATATATAATATATAAATAAATATATATATATAAATAAATAAATTACACACACACACACACACACACACACATATATATATAATATATATATATATATATATATATATATATATATATATATATATATATATATATATATATATATATATATATATATATATATATATAATGTCCTGTCGCATCTCTTATCACGCACGTCGCAATCCTTTTCGACTTTTCCCCTTCCTGCGTCCCTCCGCTTCTTCTCCCCCAAATAAATGACATGTTAACTCAGGCCGACCAAATGGCATCTGACGCGAGCACCAAGAAAGCTAAATTAGCGCAGGGGAACGGCGAGCGAGGGAACCACAACCCTTCCACCCGGGGCGCCGCCCATCTAACCCAGGCCACGGGATCACGTCTTCCGCGTTACAATGGGCATCCCACGGAGCTTCATTTGGCTTTGCGAAGGGGCTGTGTGCCGAGCAAGACGCGGTGCCTTGGGGCCGACGGCCTTTGTGCTAGTTAGGAGATCCATTCTCATTCTAAACCTGAAGTTCCCTAATACTAATATTCGTCATTTTTTTATCAATGCATCGATGAATTGCAAAGGAAAGGCATCAAATAAAAGCATCTCCCCTGAATAATAAAAATAATAATAGAATAAAAATAATCCTCCCCTGGTCCATCTTCTCTTTTACCAGCCATTAAAACCGACACATTAAGCATTAATGTCTCAAGCTGTTCAAAATCTAACGGCAACACACTCGAGGAGCCAAGCCAAAAACCTGGCCCTCTCGCTTCACTCCGGGGCGTCGCCGATGGCCTCTGCGTGGTTCGGCAAAAGCGTGCCCTCCGCTAACAGATTATTCAGCTAGTTAGGTCATCATTAGGAGCATCTCTCAGCGTGGGGTCAGGAGGGAAACTTGTAATGGATTCATCTCTCTGGATCTATATGGAATGAAATTTCACGCAAGTCTAGCATGCTTTCTACACACATCCGGCGGCACGAAGACACACCTACTTCTTGAAATGTCAAATTTTGACGCTTTATCTTTTACTTCTTATATTATTTCAAAGTCGGAGAACGACACTTAAAATAACAGACTACACTCCTCTAACAAAGACATCCAAGGTTTGTCGGCAGTGTTTAGTCACGCATATATGCAGAAAAATGCTTTGGTCACCTTCAAAAGATTTTTTTTTTTACAAAATATAAGTAGGTAGACACTTTGAAGTCAGTCTAAAAAATGTATTAAATTATAAAACATAGTATCTCCTTTGTAATAAAACAATTTTGTAAGGGAATGATGTATATTGCCCACGCGACTCACTTGGTTAATATTTAGGTGAACGAAAATTCGTTTTTTCCCCATGAACAAACCAAAACCAAATAACAAACAACAACAATAAAAATAACAACAAAAAACTATTTTAAACATAGGAATACAGTAAACGTAAAAAAATCTCTTGCTTGGTAAAAAGTAAACAATGTCAATATAAACAGATCAGGCACGTCACAGTGAGTGCTTGGAGCGAAATTACAGTATCAGACATGGAGTCCAGCGTGAATAATGACTTGGTCCTCTGTTGTCATGTTACACTCGAGAACAAAGATTCCTGTTCATCTGTCACTGTCTCTTCGACAGGAACACGTCAGGCACACTAGGTCGAGCACTTCCTGATATCCGACACGAAACATTCCTAATACGGATGTATTTCTATTACTAAAATAATTCGTAAAATATGTTCTTCTTAAGTACAAAAAACAAAACAAAAAATAAAACAAAACGAAAGCGCAAACGAAAATATGAAAAAAAACGGCCGAAGTTAATGTGAATTGCAGTATGAGTAACGTCTTGCTTACGTCACCGAATACAACAATCCAGGCATTCGTTCCTCCCTCCCTTGCGACACTGGCTCCGCATTTGCGTAAACGGCGAGCGAATGGGGCAATGCTGTCCGCGAGGGAATTTACGTAATAATTAACTGCTGTCATTCGTAATTCAGGGAAAGGGTTTTAAAATATAGTGTTTACTTGTTTATAAAGAAATAAAACATAAAATCATACATTTAAAAAGACGGCTTACAAAATGAAGTCAACATTACCATACATACTAATTCTTACATGTTCCCAAACAATACACATTGCAACCTTCCCCCATAAGAGTCTAATTCCGATACAATAGAGACATCCATGTATCCAAGCCTTCAACCAGTCGAAGAAAATACTAGTTGATAAAAACTGAGAAGATAGAGTCACTGACACGCACACATGCTTTGCCGATATGTTATCACCAAGTAAGCCCGGGAAGAAATATTGCTGTGTATATTATAAGCTGTATCATGCCCCAGCAACTTGCTTTAGAAGGAGAAACTTCTTAAAATGTCCATAAATTTCCCGATACTGCTTTATCTCCACGTGAAATCATGTAAGAGAAATATATCTTGTAAATGTGCTATTTTCCAGAATATGAAATCGCATAAGGTGAGCGCCTGATTATCGTCTCGGAGACGACCTGCTTGCCACCGTCACTGTCGTCCTGGACAACGCATATGTAGACAGAAACATATATATAAGTACATTGTCATGTCTTCCTTTCTTTATGTATGCATGTATTCATGTATGCACACGCACGCACGCACACATACACATTATTTATATATTACATATATATATACACACACACATGTATATGTGTGTATATATATATATATATATATATATATATATATATATATATATATATATATATATATATATATATATAAAGGTCATCAACAACAAACCGCACTAAGTTAAATGTACAGTTTTCTCTTCTTAACAAATGTAACATTCACAAACATTACCGTCAGCGGTCATAAGACGCTGTGGAAAGTCCCCCTCTATCACATGGTGTCAATATTGATGAATTAACTAAATATGCCGCGTAAAAGTTTCCCACGCGGAGAAACCACGACGCTCGGCCCGAAACAAAATACGATCGCCTCCCGTAGCCAGGCCTCCCCGTGTTTGAGAGGCGTGTTTGCGAAAGGATTACCAACGGGAAGTTTA